CCAGCAATATCTATGCGGGGGACACCAGAAATAGGCTCCACACATTGTACCATCCATTTAGGGAATCGAACACGGGTCTTCAACGTGACGATCGAACGCTTTAACCACTAGGCTACCCCACCACCCCTTACCTACAGGACGAAATGTAATGAGCAAGGTGCTTGTATATTTAAACGAACATGAAATGGTGATTAAAATTTTAAAAAATGAAATAATCACAAAATGTTGATCATCACAAAATGTTGATCAAAATGACCCAAACATAGAATACTTATTACGTGAAACAAATACGAAATTGTTATTAAAATTATCCAAATATGAAATAGTTTTTAAAATGTAAAAATTACGAAATGGTGACTCAAAAGACCCAAACATAAAATAGTTATTACGAGAAACAATTTCGAAATTGTTATCAAAATTACCCAAATACGAAATAGGTTTTAAAATGAAACATTTACGAACGGGTGATTAAAATCAAACAAACATGAATAGTTATTAGGTGAAACAATTACGAAATGGTGATAAATATATATTATATATGAAGTAATGAAATAATTACGAAATAGTGATTAAAACGACCAAAACATGAAATAGCTATTAACATGAAACAAAGAAGTTATGGTTATTTCAAGGAAACAAAACATCGATCCAAACGGGAAATAGCTATTAACATGAAACGAAGAAGTTATGGTTATTTCAAGGAAACAAAACATCGATCCAAACGGGAAATAGCTATTAACATGAAACAAAGAAGTTATGATTATTTCAAGGAAACAAAACATCGATCCAAACATGAAATAGCTATTAACATGGAACGAAGAAGAACTGGTTATTCAAATGGAACAAACAAGAACTTGTTATTTAAATGTAACAATAAAAAGTGACTATTTCGATAAAATATAAAGGGTTATTTGGACAAAACAAAGAAGAAATGGTTATTTCAGAGAAACAAAAAGAAATAATAATTCAAATGTAACAAAGAAAAACTGTTTATTTTTCACGACTCAAATGCCGGAAAATCGTTTTACAACAAAAGCTTGATAACTTGTCATTGAATGTTCTAAATGGTGATGCATTGTGAGTGAGTTTAGTTTTACACCGCAGTCAGCGATATTACAGCTATATGGCGGCGGTCTGTAAATAATCGAGTCTGGACCAAACAATCCAGTTATCAACAGCATGGGCATCGATCTGCGCAATTGGGAACCGGCGACATGTGTCAACAAAGCCAGCGAGCCTGACCACCCGATCCCGTTATTCGCCTCTTACGACAAGCATGGGTTACTGGAGGTTCATTCTAACCCGAACCTTCACGGGTCTATTGTGAGTGAAATATCGCTTGTCTTGACGTGCCGATTTAATGTAGGTATTTTGAAACAGCTCCACGAAGTACTGAATAAACAACGAGGATTGTTTTATGGATATACAACTTCTGTAATATAAAATGAGCGACGTTTCGGTGTAGCTACTAACACCGTTATCAAGCAAGTGATGACAGGCAAGTACTAAATGGCCTGACCCATAACTTAAGCAATCTGTGACTCCGTGTTAAAGGTTTTTGTGTGTTGTGCAAATGCAGATGACAAGGTATGTGACAACTGAAACAATGTGGTCGTGTTGCTTTGAGTTGATGACGTTTTGAGTGAGTGAGTTAGCGAGTTTCGTTTTACGCCGCTTTAAGCAATATTCGAGCAATATCACGGCGCGGGACACTAGAAATGAGTTTCACACATTGTACTCATTTAGGGAATCGAACTCGGGTCTTCGGCGAGGCCAGCGAACGCTTTAACCACAATGCTACCTCACCGCCCCCTGATGACGTTTTGAACCGTTTATATATACCTGAAGTGTCCTTATCACTATATATTAAGCATCTCTTGTTTTCCTCCCTCGGTTTTACATTCTCTACCAAAACCTCAGGGGTGTGTTTTCTCCTATTTGTAAGGACCGCCTCCGTGGTGTAGTGGTTTGAGCGTCCGCCCGGAGAGCAGACGGTCGCGGGTTCGATGCCCGGCCGCGTCATACCAAAAGACGTTAAAATATGGTACTTGTTGGTCTCTGCCTGGCGCTCGGCATTAATGGGTACAACAAGGACTGGTCGGCTCGGAGTCAGTATAATGTGTCTGAGTGGAGTATTCATGCTTCACTGCGGCATGGTATCTCAGTGAACTAGCACTATAAAACCAGCTTCAGTGTGGGCTAGTACAAGCAGCCGCACATACACATACACACGCATGCACGTCGTCATATGAGCGAAATATTCTCAAGCACGACGTTAACCCAATTTCACCTCACCTCACCTCCTATACGTAAGACTTACTGTCGTGTCAGCTTCGTGTGGTAGGAATTATAAGATCCGTATAATTGTTTTTGTTTGCTTGTTTTTTTAACGCCACACTCAGCAATATTCCAGCTATATGGCGGCGGTGTGTAAATAATCGAGACTGGACCAGACAACCCAGTGATCAACAGCATGATCATCGATCTACGTAATTGGGAAAAATATAAAACATTAAACAAAAATTAACTTACCTAAGAAGAAACCGAAGACTGCTCATACGTCACCAGCGTCGGGAACGACAGCAACAGTGGACACGTGATAGTGGCAACACCACACATGATACTGGCTGACGCGAGGAGAGACACTCTGTTCACACAAGGGAGGTCGGATACACGAGCAAACAGTAGGCGTCCCACCATGCTGGATATCCCGATGGCTGGTATCAACCACGTCGACCTCTCTTCGGCAATATTCAAGTTATTTGCTAGGTCTGGAAGATGGTTGAATGGTACGAGGTGTGCCAAGGCGCCAATAGCAGCTCCAGTAAGGAAGACAGTGTATCTGATGTTGGTGAACGTTGCAAGCATGGCTTTCACCTTGGTTATGATGGCACCAGTGGTAGAAACCTTGGAATTGTCTGCTTTTGTAAAAGATATACACCATTCAAAAACAGTAGAGGATATTCCATTTTGCGAGCATACCACTAGCCAATGCCAATCCATATGAGAAAAGTAATATATATCCATACAGATGAAACATTTCCAAAGGAATGAAATAAATTGTCACATTTTCCCTTAGTTTCTGTTCATCATCTGTTTCCTCCTTGGCTTCGTCATTTGCATTTTATCAATCTTGTAAATCCAATATCCCCTACATCTTTTGGTGGTATATATAAGATCTGTTTTTTAACTTGTAAGAGAAAAGTGGGTGCGTTTAGTTTAACGCCGCACTCGGCAATATTACAGCTATATGGCGGCGGTCTGTAAATAATCGAGTCTGGACCAGAAAATCCAGTGATCAACAGCATGAGGATCGATCTGCGCAACTGGGAACCGATGACATGTGTCAATCAAGTCAGCGAGCCTGACCACCCGATCCCGTAAGTCGCCTCTTACGACAAGCATGGGTTACTGAAAATCAATTCTAACCCGGACTTTCACGGGTACTTGTAAAAGAAGAATATCTGAACTTTTTTAAACAGCAGTCTTAATTGTTTGGCAGTGCCATGTTGGGCGTTAAAGACTAGCTGCTTTGTATGAACAGTAAGGCTGGACATGTTTCCGCTTTAAGTGAACCACTGGTGTCATTATTGGTTTCAGTGGTCCATTCATAGATTTCTCATAGACCCGTGAAGATCCGGGGTAGATTGATCTTCAGTAACCCATGTTTGTTGTAAGAGGCGACTAACGGGATCGGGTGGTCAGGCTTGCTCACGTGATTGCTCACTCAGATTGATTTTTTGTGATGTTGATCACTGGATTGTCTGACCCAGATTCGATTATTTACAGACCGCCGCCATATACATGAAGTGCGGCGTAAAATGAAACTCACTCACTCACTCACCCTAGCTACATGACGGCGCTCTGCAAATATTCAAGTCTGGGCCAGACAATCAATAGAAGGACACCCTGAACATTGGAGAAAGATGAGATGCACACAACCAATTCACCGAACCTGACAACCTATCCACGATATTGTCAACTCTTACTAAAGGCATATACTAATGGGGACCTAATGTCTCATACTAAATCCACACAAGTGGATTACCATGCACATTTAGTATTAGGTGCCTTTGTAGGTTTTTGTATGGGTGAGTGAGTGAATCGCCTTCCCAACATTGTATCTACATCGCTTTGGTACAAAGCGTTATATTGACTGAGTGAGCGAGTTTAGTTTTCCACCGCTTTTAGCAATATTACAGCAATATCATGACGGGGGACACCAGAAATGGGCTCCACACATTGTACCCATGTGGGGAATCGAACCATGTTCTTCGGCGTGACGAGCGAACGCTTTAACCACAATGCTACCCCACCGCCGCACATTTTGTCGCGTTCAAGCACATAATCAAATAAACACCCTAAAAGAACACACTGACTGGAAAATAGTTGAATCAAGATATAGTAAAACATGTTCTTAACACAAACACACATGTCCACGTTCAAACACAAGAAAATATACACGCCCAAAAAGAGCACACTGACTGGAAAATAGTTGAATCACAATATAAAAAAAGAAAACACACACACAGAGAATCTCCCCCGAGTGTCTTTTGACACGAGGGTGAGATTCTATTTATCATAAAAATATCACTATACATTAGTTTTCAATGAATATTCCACGGTACATCTCATATGTCATAGCATTGTAACGTCATCAAGTTCATGACGTCATAGCATTGTCAGGGCATTGTCAAAACGATGGCTCCTAGGAGATTCACACGAGCAATATCTCCTGTGGAACACGGTTTTGGATGATAAACACACATACACACATGCACATACACATTCACAAACATACCAGCACACACACAGCACGACACAACCGATGACAATGTTTGTATTATGCACCCATTTCCTGGCCTACCTGATGTGTCTGACTTGGCTTTGGTGGCTCTGTGTTCTTGTTCAGTATTAAACGGTCTGAAAAGTGCCCCGAATACGGCACAGTTCAGAACAAGACTACCTGTAATCAACACCGTGCCTCTCCAGGTGTACTCTTAAATCATCACCTTCAGTAGAGGAGGCAGCACCAAAGTACCAATACTTGCACCCGTACTGCCAAGGGCGTTTGCAAGACATCGGTGTTTCTCGAAGTTCTGGTTGACAATGACAACGGCGGAGAAGAATAGAAGGCTGAAGCCGAAACCTGAGGAAGAGTAATACGATGAGTGTTTAGTAAGAGGAGGACGTTTATTGTATTGTAGGCCTCTCTCTAAATATTATTATTGTTATGTTTTACAGATTAAAGATGAAAATGCAGCAGAGAGGGTTCGGGTGATCCTGGCACAGTCAGGCTGGTAAGGCTCATTATTATTATTTTTCACAGATTAAAGATGAAAAATGCAGTAGAGAGGGTTCGGGTGATCCTGGCACAGTCAGGCTGGAAAGGCTCATCATCAGCTCAGGGCCCTCGCCCCCTCTACACGCAGCCAAGACAACGAATGGGACTTCTCCCAGGAAACACTGCCTAGCCGAACCCACCAAGAACTTTCCGGAGAATATCATGCCCCCTCTACACGCAGCCCAGACAGCGAATGGGACTTCTCCCAGGAAACACTGCCTAGTCGAACCCACCAAGAACTTTCCGGAGAATATCATGCCCCCTCTACACGCAGCCCAGACAGCGAATGGGACTTCTCCCAGGAAACACTGCCTAGCCGAACCCACCAAGAACTTTCCGGAGAATATGATTATTATTATTATTATTGTTATTATTATTGGACATTTATATAGCGCACATATCAGTCAACCTATCACTGGGCATGTATTTGGCTTCCTCTGCTCCTCAATGTTCATTCCCTTAAATATGCCTGCTTGATGAAGGAGACTGTTCTGAAACTCGTAGACCCGTGAAGATCCGGGGTAGAACAGGTCTTCAGCAACCCATGCTTGCCACAAAAGGCGACTATGCTTGTTGTAAAAGGCGACTAACGGGATCGGGTGATCAGGCTCGCTGACTTGGTTGACACGTGTCATCGGTTCCCAATTACGCAGATCGATGTTCATGCTGTTGATCACTGGATTATCTGGTCCAGACTCGATTATTTACAGACCGCTGCCATATAGCTGTAATATTGCTGAGTGCGGTGTAAAACTAAACTCACTCACTCTGAAACTCACAACATTCAGCGTCCGAAATTAACGTCGGTCCTAATGCCCGAAGCTGACTGAAAACCACTCGGGCCCACAGCTTTTGTTTTCTGCGTCTCCTTTAAATAAGAGTACTATATCCATATTAAAATATAGGGCCTACACATTCAAATCAGGACCCACAACCCTTTATGGTTCTGGGTCCTTAGGGGTGCAGCTTTTCAAGGTTAAGGGCAAACACTGCACGTCAGTTCTTTTTACCTTAGTGACCTCAAGCACATTTCGGACAAAGTATATATAGCCTACATTTATACACTCAGGGTGTTATGATCCGTCAATACATATGACATGATTTCCGTGTAGCTCAACTTTCAACTACGTTTGTGGACGAAAGCCCAAAGTTGAAGATCTGAGACTTATGCCACTTTGCTAAATCCTATGTGCGTGGACGACGTACTTATATACAGATCATTTTATGGACAACCCAAGCAAACTAGGACACCTCAGACCTTTTCCCATTTAGGGACCAGAAGGAACCTGGAACCCATCAGACGGTTCTCAATTAAAGGGCCATCAAAATGAACTTGAACCCATCAGAGGATTTTCCATTTAAAGTGTCATCCAAGCAAACCGAAACCCATCTGACGATTTTCCAAGTAAAGGATCTTCCTAGCAAACTGGAATACATCAGACTAGTTTCCATTATTTAAGGATCATTCCTGCAATATGGAACGCATCAGATTTCCATTTCAAAGAAAACTGGAATACCTCAGATATCCTTTCAAAAGACCATCCTAGAAAACTGGAACGCATCAGATTTTCCATTTAAAGGATCATCCTAGCGAACTGGAATACATCAGACTATTTTCTGTGTAAACAGACTGGAACACGTCAGATCTCTGCACCTATAATAAAAACGCCTGCAGAAGGCTTCAAAGATTGTGCAGTGAAGGGAATCAACATTTGGTTTTCGTTTTCGACCAACGACCTTGCCTACTTGAAAACCACATCGACCGTTCCAGGGAGACAAGACCCACCAAGAAACATTATCACATTACTTTCAGAAACTACAAGACCGTCGACAGCAAAGGATTAATGAAAGGTTCCAGAATATTTAGGCTGCAATGTTCAGTCTTGGAATAACGAGAGAACCATTTGCATAGAGCTAGAGTGAGTGAGTTTTGTTTTACGCCACAATTAGTAATATTCCAGCAATATCACGCCGGGGGACACCAGAAATTGGCTTCACATATTGCACCCATGTGGGAAGCGAACCCGGTTCTTCGGCATTACGAGCGAACGCTTTAACCACAAAGCTACCCCACCGCCCCAGAGGAAACACACAGGATTTGTTTTAGTACCCACCTTGGAGAAAGCCATAACTGAGATCCAGGTAGAGAAGACTGTCTGCAAGACAGCTGATGCTGCAGCCGATGGAAGCCAATACAGCTCCCAGGATCGTTGCTGCCCTCGGTCCAAATGTATTATATATTGCAGCATCAACTGGCCCTGAAGAAGGAATAAGTGAGTACGTTGTACGTCTCTTTCAACAATATACCAGCAATGCCGCGACGGGACACCAGAAATGGGCTTCACACATTGTACCCATATGGGGAATCGAACCCGGGTCTTCGGCGTGACAAACGAATGCTTTAACCACTAGGCTACCCCACCGCCCCCAATGTGTAGAATGTCAATCACTGGCTCGACTGGTCCTAACTCGGTTATGCGACGGCTGTCACATAGCTGGAATATTGCTTAACTTCAAACAAACCTGGAATATCTAATGTATAAAATATTGTGTAAAGTACATTTATTAAAGGCAAACCCCGTTGTGTCGAACTCGTCGGGACCAACGGAACAGTTCGACTTATCAGAGTGTTCGACACATCCGTCAGCTTAGAAATAATAATAAATATAAGGAAATCGGCAGGGGCCGAGAGATGAGTTCGACACAACCGAGAATTCGTCTCAACCGAGTTCGAGACATTGTATTTTAACCAATACCTGAATCACAAACTTACCGAACAGAAACACGGGACCACTAAGAAGAGATCCGATCCATGCAGTGTGCCCTCTTGACCAATGGAAATGATCAAGCAGCTCCACGTGTATTACGCCGAAGGACTGCATGAGTCCAAACACAATGAAGTGGATGTAGAACGAGCCCAACACACACACCCACGCCCGTCCGGCATCCTTCTGGCGAGTCATGGATGAAGATTGGAAATATCGACAGAGGTGCTACAAAAAATATGTTTTCGTTATAGAGTGTATCATCAAGCACACACACGTCCATCCTGCATCCTTCTGGTGGGTCATGGGTGAAGATTGGAAATATCGACAGAGGTGCTACAAAAAATATGTTCGTTATAGAGTGTATCATCAAGCACACACACGTCCATCCTGCATCCTTCTGGTGGGTTATGGGTGAAGATTGGAAATATCGACAGAGGTGCTACAAAAATATGTGTTCGTTATAGAGTGTATCATCAAGCACACACACGTCCATCCTGCATCCTTCTGGTGGGTTATGGGTGAAGATTGGAAATATCGACAGAGGTGCTACAAAAAATATGTGTTCGTTATAGAGTGTATCATCAAGCACACACACGTCCATCCTGCATCCTTCTGGTGGGTTATGGGTGAAGATTGGAAATATCGACAGAGGTGCTACAAAAAATATGTTCGTTATAGAGTGTATCATCAAGCACACCCGTCCGGCATCCTTCTGGTGGGTCATGGTAGTCAAGGAGCTTATGGGATTCCGTGAAAGTTTTTTGATGAAAGCAAATCATATATTCTTTTGTGTTTATATGTTAAAGGAGTTTAAAAAAATGTTTGGTTCCAATCTGAATATTGATGCGAAAACCTATTTTTAGCTCAAAATCCAAGATGGCCGCCAAAATTTAACCGGGAACTGAAAAAGTTGCAAAAACTCGGAACAAAACAATGGTTTTAATATCAATACCATGCATATTTGGTTACGGAATATATTTCTCATATGCTGTAAGTCACCAGATCTTTTTAGTTTGACTTTAGTCTTAAATTTACATTAAAGAGTCATTTTTAGCTCTAAAAGTTATAATGATGAATAAAAACCCCATTTCTTCACAAGGCATATATTTTGTTTAGAACTAGTACAATATGAAAAAGGAATATACTTTTTACCCTGTTTATCAACTATAGAAGAGGTCTTAACATGAAACTGCGACCCAGAAATATACTCTTCCAAAAAAGAAACGCACAAGCCATTTTTTCGAAGAATTTCTTGCATTAGTTTAAGAGCTATTATTTCATGTAATCCCAATGGTAAAAAAGGTGAAAATTCAAACGTCTATAGACAAAGCCTTTATTGTTGTGTTTCTGTTTGCTTGAGTCCACAAGATGGCGTCAAAGTCAGTTCGTTGTATGGACACCATTGGCAGCAATTACTGCTCGGCACCGTCTCGGCACACACTGGATAAGTTGACGAAGTAGCTCTTATCATTGTAGGCGACTTCAATTTCCATTTTGACAAGGATAACCATGACACTAAACGAATAATTAATCTCAATGACTGAGACAAGTGTCTGAGGCAAGCTACAGAGGTGGACACACTCTGGACTGGATAGTTACCCGTGCTTCAGACGCGTGTGTCAGTTGTGTACCTGTATAGGATCTACAGCTCTCTGACCATTTCCATATATTTGTGAGCTTGGACCTCCCAATACCCAGTCCAAACGTGAAGATTACTCGCTGTAGGAACATGCGCTCCCTGGATATAGATACTTTTAAAGACAATTTGCTAAACTCAGACCTTATACTTGAGCCACCACCTGATGCTGAGAGTCTCGTTCTGCTATACAATAGGGTTCTATCTGAGCTGCTATATAGACAAACTTGCACCAGTGAAGGACAGAGTCATACCAGTCACTAAAACATCTGCTTAGGACTTCACACCTGAAGTTCGACAAGCGAAAAAAGACAATGATGAAATACAATCTTTCCTGGAGATTCATCGCCAAATGTATATTTCAGCCAAAAATCACTCAACAACGGTCATCAGACAAATCAACATCTCAATTCTAAGATTGAAGCCAACGAGTCATGTCCAAAGTTGCTGTTCAAACTTTTGCTCAGTATCTTGAGTAAACACTTTGAATCAACACTTCCGACATCTGATGACAATGAAGTTATAGCACAGACATTTTCGGATTATTTCTACAAAAAGATCCAAGAGCATTCATAACAAGATTTCGTCTTCTGCGGCTGTGGATGAAGCTGATATTCCTCCAAAAATGTTTGATGGCACGCATCTTACTCATATTGATAGTTTCACTGATATTTACCAACATTAGTGCTGATTATTAACTCTTCTTAGCCAAAAGGGCTCAAAATACTACTATAAGGTTTTATTAGTCAGGGCTCAAGATAAGGGTCGTATCGGCGTATGTACGGATATAAAATAAGCACGATACGGTAGGAAATAATTTAGAAAACGTAGCAGATACGCACCACAGCAGTGGTGTACGGTCTTAGAATCATTTACAGACGTATTTATCTGAAAATGTATTGTTTTATTGATTATTGCAATGTTGTGGTGCATATATGAAACGAAACACAAGATTACTGATACTCGTTTAAATCCCATTCAGTACTCTAAATGTACTCTTAAAGTTTTCCAGTACTCCTGTATTGAAAAAATAAGGAGTACGTACTCCTGATGTTGAAAAAATATCTGGAGCCCTGCAGTTCTACTTCATCTGGTTATGTCCCAAGTGTACTCAAGTCAGCTCTAGTTAGGCCACATCTGAAGAAATCAAGCCTTGATTAGGAGGATAAATCCAAACTCATTGAACGTGCAGTCTCCAGTCGTCTCATGGGCCACCTTTCCTGGCATAACCTCTATGAGGTGTTCCTATCAGCCTGCAGAGCACACCACAGCACAGAGACGGCTCTGCTGAAGATCCCGAATGACCTACGATGTGGTATTGACAAAGGACAAGTGGCCCTGCACACATTACTTGGCCTAAGCAGTGCCTTTGACACGACTGATCACCAGAGACTCCTCAAAAGACTTGATACAGAACTTGGATTCAGATTTATCCTGGCTGGCATCTTATCTACAGGACAGGACTCAAACCGTTGTTGTTGGTGAGTCTGTGTCAACCGCATCTAGGCTTGAGTGCGGAGTCCCGTGCTTGGTCCGATCCTCTTCACCCTCTACACTGTTCCACTTGGCTCTGTTGTAGCAATCCTTAATCTTGACCACTTCTACGCAGATGACACGCAGCTGTGGAAGTTATTTCAACCAAACACAGAGTCAACTATAGAGCGTCTCTCTGTCAGACATCAGACTGTTGCCAGAAGATATGTATGGATGTCATCAAATGCCTTGAAATTAAATTAAGAGAAAACAGAGTCCATTCTTCCGGGACAGGCTGGAAAACGCAAGCAGTGTGACATTACTAGTGTGTGTGTCTGTGGAGCAACCATTCCTCTTTCTTCCTCTGTGAAGGATCTGGGTGTTGTCATCGATCAAGATCTAAGTATGACGGAACACGTCAAGTATGTTTCTAAAACCTGCTACTTCCATCTCCACAATATCAGTAAGGCCAGACCGTTCTGACCAAAGATGCCTCCAAAACTCTCCACCTCAGCCTAGTCACATCTCGTATGGACTACTGTAACAGCCTTTTGGTCGGATCTCCATCTTGTGTCACTGACCAACTCAAATGGGGTCAAATGGTGGGGTTGTTCAGTGTAGAGCAAGGGTGAGGTTCAGTGTAGAGTAGGGATGAGGTTGTGTAGAGTACTGGTGAGGTTGTTCAGTGTAGAGTAAGGGTGAGGTTCAGTGTAGAGTAGGGATGAGGCTGATTAGAGTAAGGGTGAGGTTGTTTAGTGTAGAGTAAGGGTGAGGTTGATTAGAGTAAGGGTGAGGTTGCTTAGTGTAGAGTAAGGGTGAGGTTGTTCAGTGTAGAGTAAGGGTGAGGTTGATTAGAGTAATATGGGTGAAGATTGGATATATCGACAGAGGTGCTACAAAAAATATGTGTTCGTTATAGAGTGTATCATCAAGCACACCCACGTCCATCCTGCATCCTTCTGGTGGGTCATGGGTGAAGATTGGAAATATCGACAGAGGTGCTATAAAGAACATATGTATGTTAATAGTCATTGATGAAGAATGAAATTAACAACAGAGCTGTCAGAAAGAATGTATGCGTGCACACCCACGCCTATCCATTCATGGATGAAAATTGTAATTCTCGGGAGAGTGAGTGAGTGAGTTAGGTTTTACGCCGTTGTTAGCAATATTCCAGCACTACAACGGCGGAGGACACCAGAAATTGCCTTCACATATTGTATCCATGTGGGGAATCAAACCCGAGTCTTCAGCGGGACGAGCGGACGCTTTAACCGCTAGTCTACCCCACTGCATCAAGTGCTCCATAGAATCTAGAAATTATGTATTGATTAATGGACGCATAGAATACTTACCAGTGGTTACAAGATTTTAAAAGTTTACTATTTAAATAAAAATGAAGAAGGTGAAACAGATGGGTATATTACAGGACACCGTCTCAGTCATGTCGCGGATGGATACATGAAAGTTTTACAAACCCAGCTCTCTATCACCGAGAGAACTCTCAGACATTATTTTTTTCAACAATCACGTATATAAAAAGGCAAAGAATGTAAAATTAAAACTTCAATTGATGTAAATTAATATTTAAAATCGGTGAAGGAATGCCATCAACCTGAACGTTACCTACTATCCCAAAGCTTGACAACACTGCATAGCATCAACACCCACAGAGACTGACGGGTGCCAGGGACATCTACAGGAAAACCTGTAAAACAGGGTGAGTCGGGGGTGGACTTTGGGCGTCGTTTCTGAGATTTTCTCTTTCACTCAAAGAAGGCCTTATGAAACTGCTGCATTGGATTAGCAGATGACGTAAGACGTAGGACATTCTACCCATGAATGATCTTAAGTTCTTGAAAGGCATTTACAAGTTAACCCGTGACGATCCGGTTTAGATTTGGTCTTCAGTAACCCATGCTAATGTTAGATACCTATTGAAACGGGAACAGGGTTTAATATTCATCTGGACAACAGAACGTGTACTATTTGTAAAAATAATGTTATTTGTGACGACGTTCATGTCATTCTATCATGTACGCATCTTAGTGTTGAACGTAAGAATATATACTTCCCTAATATTTTT